CTCCCATTTTCCCTGTCAAGCATTCTCTGCTCTTTTTCCTGCACCTCACTCCCTGTCACCCTTAGGGACATTACACACAGCCTCAGGGAGGATTCCCCATACTTCTGTTTCTGATTCACGGGCTGCGGAAGAGCTCCTTCAGATCTGCCCCCCAGCCTCCGCTTTCCCCAACAATCTGTGAAGAGACAACCCTCCTATCAGCGGCAAAACCCATGCCTCCTCCTGGATGCATTGGCTGCTGTTCCTGCAGCTGTTCTTGTCCTTCCACCCCAGCCAGAGCAGAAAAGCAGCACTCTGCAGCATCAGCCTCCAGCTCTTCCTGCGGGGAATGGCTCCCCCATGCATCGCACCGAGATGAGAGTCATAATTAGCTCCTCGTCAAGGAGCACAACACTCCATTCCCAAGGCTGGAGCAACACTGATTGCTGGTCAAATTTTTTATACTATAGCAGATAACCTGGGACAGTTTAACAAAAGCTGGTTGTTAAATCCCGGTTCCTTGCAAACTTCCAAGGATGGAGATGCCCCCATTTCTCTGATGACTTGTTTCAGTACTGTACTACCTTCCCAGTGAAGAAGTGCTTTTCTAGTTTCCGAATGTCCCAAACTGAACCCTCTAAGCTGTAATTTGTGGTTACTGCCCTTTGATATACCATCTCCTACCAGCAAGAAAAAAAAATTAGCTTTGTCATTTTTGCAGCTGCCCTTGAAGTAGTTGTAGGCTACAATTAAATCCTCCCTTAGTCTCCTCTATGCCAGACTGCACACGCCCAGCTCCACCACCAACCTCTCCTCATAGTTCGTATGCTCCATGCCTCTGTCTGCTTCAGGAGGCTTCTGCTGGACCTTCTCCAGATTTCTCCACGTCCTTCTTGGACTGGAGGGGACCTCTACTGGATGCACTATTCCAGGTGCAGCCTCACCAGTGCCAAGTAGAGATGGATAACAGCTTCCTCCCACCTGCTGGCCTCACTCCTCCCAGTATAGCCCCCAACATAGCACGAGATTTGCCTTGCTCATGAGGAGAACACACAACATGAGGGCTTACATTCAATCTGGCACCTGCCGTAAGCTCCAGGGCCTGGCGAGCAGGGCTGCAACTCAGCCCATGGCCTCCTGACCGGTGGCTCCAGCCAGGTGCCAAGCTCTGCATCTCGCCATGTTGAACTTGGTGAGGTTTCTTCTAGCCCCATCCTCTCATCTACTGAGGTCCCTCAGGCTTGAAGTGTTTGGAATTTCAGCCACTCCCTGAAACTTAACATCACCCTGTGCAAGAATTTTAAAATGACAAAACACGAGTGACATTTAAATTCCTTTGGACACAAAGGAATTTGGATGTTGTTACTCAGCTTCTGGCTGCTTTTTCCCCAGTTCTTGTTTGCTCCCATTCGGCCCACAGTCCCACTGAGCTGCAGTCCCGTCACCAGCCTCTCCTTGGCCGCTGGCACCGGGAAAAGGATCCCGTGACTATGAGGTTTGTTGCTAGTCTCTTGTCTTCTCCCTAGGCCCAGCACAGAGGCTGGTGGGACTGGCCCCTAGAGCTGCCCCGTGCCTTTGCAGCAAAGGCAGAGGATACCAGTATGTCTCGTACCCTTTCTCAGGTAACTACTTCTCCATCTTAAATATTTATCGATTGATAAATTGGTCCGTGCATCAAAAGCTGGATGCTGCTGGAGTTATTCCCACACTTTCTTCCCTTACTCCACCCCCCCAAAATCCTATTTAGCATGCAAATAGTACTGCATACTTCGTACAGCCCTATCTACTGGACAAAGAGGTGGTGCGGTGCTGTATCAGCTGCAAATAAGCTAGGGACCTAAGCCAAAGGCTACTGAAACGCCTAAGAGGCTTAGGACGTTACATCACGCCTAAGTTAGCATTTGACTAAATCAAGGACTGGATTATTTGGCTCTGGAATCAGAAGTGCGCTTAGGCATGTGAGCGGTCCCACCGAAAGCAGCAGGACTACCTGGGGGGGTGATCGAGTGAAACCGTGCCCGGATCTGCTGTGCCACTGGCAGCTCCCGAATCAGATTTGCTGCTGAAAGCTTCCCGGTGCTGCCCCCTACAGACCAGGCTAACTGCAGCTCAGCACGGCAGAGAAGAAAACTGCCGAGAAGATGATGATGCACAATCTGCCCCGGACACAGTTCTAAATTAGCAATGTGCAGGTCTAAACAGGTAAGCCTGAAATCCTACCTCAGATTTTTAAATATTCCTCAAATATTTCCAAGCATAGTTCTATATATTAACCGTCAAAAGTCTACCTCTGGAAGGCTGCACAAAAACGGCAGGAATCTGTCAATTCAAATTAAGTTGCTCAGTAGACTCTTCCCATATCTGGAAGAGCAGTAGTGGCATCAGCCAGTCACAGGTTTCTGTCAGTGAGGGCATAAAAAACGTTAAAAAACACAAGCTCCTGCCCTTCCCAGCACTTGTCACAGTGAAAATTCAGGAAAAAACACATAGAGTTTTAGATGAGAAATTGGGAGGGTCAGAAGAGCTAGTCAAATTAAGGAGGATACACAGGAAATCAAGGAAAGGTAACAGTTCCATATGAAACTACAGATTTAAGATAAAAATACAAAGAGGACAGAAGACAAGAAACAAAATGAGCCTCATTTCAGATAGGATGTGACCAACAGAAAATATCAAATTATCAGAGAGCATCTTCTCATGAAAATAACGTGGTTTGATTAATCACACACTAAAATAAAGCCTACAGGCGTTTACACCTCTTGGTCCAAACGCTTCCACTGAAGTATGGAACAATGGGCAAAGATCAAAATTCAGAGACTTGGAAGCAGGTAAAACTAGCTGGAAAACATGCGTAAAAAGCATTTATTTTGAGAGTATACACACCTGATACAACTTTAAAATATCTTCCATCTTTTCTATTTATGGCTTTTTTTTTTCGGTTTTGACTTGGCACAGACACACTTCCATGTATCGCCACTTTTCTTCTGAACGCAGTAACACATCTGGAACAGCTGCACCCTTAGGGAGCACTGCAAAAGCTTCCACCTATTACGCTTCTAGATCCTCACCCACTGTTTGAGACCACCTTCATCCGAGGCAACTCTCTCCTGACTCCGAGACCTTTGCCATCGCCAGCAACTCGTCTTCCTCTTTCTGCCCAGGCTGTAAACAGCCAGGCCCCTGTGGTGATTTTAGCGGGGGAAAACAGCCTTGCCAGGGATGTTACACCTGAGCGGGTGGGTAACGTTCATTCCTTAGTTGTTCTCTTGATTTCTATCCTTCGAAGCTGTACCTGGGACCAGGAGGTGAGAAAATAAGAGAAGTCTGTCACAACCCTTTCCTTGTTTTTCCACGAGGCCAAAGTTACTCAAGTGTTGCATTTCAGTAGATTCTTAACCAAGAAGCTTGAGCAAGAGCGAATAAAAGTTTATGAAACACCAAAATAACTTCAGTAGCCCTAGACATGCATATTGTTAGATTAAAATAAAGAAAAAAAACCCAAACAAAAGCAGAAACAGTCGACTGCTGCAGTCACTGTAAAAAATACAGTAGTATCTCAAAGGCACTTTCAGGCTACTTCAGCATCGACCGCCTGCCTGCGTAGCTGCGCACAGGCAGAGTCCCGGCGGGTGCCCTCCGCCAGGTACAACATACAGCTCTGCTCTCTCCTGCCCGCTCCTCCTACTGCATCTGATTTCTATTGCTCCTTCCACATGCGTTTCCCCTCCTGCAGCCGTCGTTGCTAAGCAGCCTGAGCCGCAGGCACGGCTCCGAGCCTGCGCCGGAGCCGGAGGCTGCAGCAGAGATGCCCCAGCAGCCTCCCTCCACCCGCCACAGCTTCCACCAACGGGCAGAGCAAGATGCTGTTGTAGAGAACAGCGAGTGACACGTACCAGACCTTTTCCCGGCAGGTAGCTTTCACCTCCCTGCTAACAGGAAGAGATTAATTTTCAGAGTTGAAGTACTCTGAGCTTTAGCTAGTCCTCAGAATTTGAACTAAAATCGACTGCAGCCCCCCACTAGCTTCAGCTACTGGGTAATTGTACAAGCAGTAACAAGGCCCAACACCAAACACCTTCAGCCTCTGCATGGCTTTACCCAAAGCTTGTATTTTGAATTACCCTTGAAAAAAGCCTGGGAGCCAGGAACAGCTTGCAGCATAGAGCGTACCAGCAACCACCTGAAAACATAAGCTGCCCAGCACCATACAACACGGCTGCCAGACACGGACTGGTACGTAACACATTAGAAAGCCTGAGTTCATGGGTGGTTTATTTCTTCTTACAGCTCCCTGAGGTATCAGCAAGGACCTGCCGATAAGCAGGAGCCAGACTCAGGTAAGAACAGTTTCCACAGGTTCTCACAGAGTTGAGGCCAACAACTATATAATGTTAAGTATCTTTCTCCCCTTAAACCTAAATTTTCATCCCACTATTAAAAATTCATGTAGTGTGGGTTTCACCTTTTTCAGGTAATTCTGGAAGGGAAAGGTAGTATGGTCTCTTTCAGTGCCTTCCTAATGGAGCCACAAGTTAATCAGCATGCACTGGCTAGCCAAGGATTGCGTTCAGCATTAGCCAGATTTCTTTTAACCACAGGTAGGGAAAACACCTGTCTGCTAAACAAAGACACACCACCAACCAATTCAATGGGTATTCGGTTGCTTGCAGCATTAACACAAATAGCCTCTGTTTAAGAGCAGACAGCTTCAAGGTGGCATTTCAGTGTTCATCACACCTTGCCCCTCTAACTAAAACGTATTCAGGGTGGCAAACTGCAGCTGAAGAGTTTCAGACTGGACATTAGGAGAAGCTTTACCAGAAGGGTAATACAGCACTGCAACATGTTACCCAGGCAGCAGATCATCTCTCCATCCTTAGAGGCCTTTCAAACACCAGAAAAAGCAATTGTCCGGTAACCTGAGGCTGACATTAACTTTTTGCTCAGAGGAGAGCTTTGAGGGTCCTTTGAAAACAAGGTTTATAGAGGATGCCACAGTTACAAGTGATCACTTTAGTCCATTTAGTCTTCCAGCAGAACATTTTATTCTCATTAAGGACAAGGAAATATCAACCAACAGCTCAATTAACATGACACAGATTAAACAAGCCCTGTTAAGCATTTTCTACTTAACATGAAAAAAGAGTCTAAAGACATCTTATGTGTCCAAACTGTTCACATTAAAACTTGAGCTCATCCTTTGACATAAGCTCAGCTGACGTTGCTCCTGTGTATAGCAAAAGGTGGAAACAATTTAAGTTACCAGAACAGCTGTGTTTAACAAGTACTGAAGCACTGGAGTTTAGACTGCATTTACTGGTGTGCTATTAGACTGCTTTCCTTGCATCTCTTCAGATTCTCAGGCAGACTTGCAGAAAGCCACAGCAGAAAAACGAACTTCTCCTTTTTCACGTTCTGTAAATTGTCTGCAGATCTTAGCAGAATCCTTGGAAGGAAAAACACTGGTTAGACTATCAGAATATATCAACTTCTACGGCAAGTAGTTACAGCCACTGTACACTTGAATGTAAGCCTCTCACCCTTCCATAAGCCTTGTCTTCAGGAAAACGAGCAGCAAGGGGGAAGCCTTACCTTCAATAGCAAGTCATCTGAGCTTGTGCCATGGTTTACAGGAAATGGCATACGCCCATCTGTGAAAGAAAGTCCTGTCACTCAGTGTGCTTAATATTACTTCTGAATTAGCAGAACTGGGCATAGTGGGCCCAAGAAGCAAATACACACAAAGATACTTGGGAGGTCAGAATAAGTTGTCAATACATAGCTTGAGTGAGAAGTGGACTAGCTATTACCAGCTCTACAGGAGATGACGTGCTTTACAAGAGGGCCTAGGCCTTCATGGAACCTGATGAGGTTCAACAAAGGCAAGTGCAGGGTCCTGCACCTGGGGAGCAACAACCCCATGCATCAGTACAAGCTTGGTGTGGACCTGCTGGAGAGCAGCTCTGTGGAGAGGGACCTGGGTGTCCTGGTGGACAAGTTGACCATGAGCCAGCAGTGTGCCCTGGCTGCCAAGAAAGCCAATGGGATCCTGGGGTGCATTAAGAGCAGTGTGACCAGCAGGTCGAGGGAGGTTCTCCTCCCCCTCTACACTGCCCTGGTGAGGCCTCATCTGGAGTGCTGCGTCCAGTTCCGGGCTCCCCAGTTCAAGAAACATGAGGAGCTACTGGAGAGAGTCCAGCAGAGGGCTACGAGGATGGTGAGGGGACTGGAACATCTCCCCTACGAGGAGAGGCTGAGGGAGCTGGGCTTGTTCAGCCTGAAGAAGAGAAGGCTGCGAGGGGACCTTATAAATGCTTACAAATATCTGAAGGGTGGGTGTCAGGAGGATGGGGCCAGACTCTTTTCAGTGGTGCTCAGCAACAGGACAAGGGGCAATGGGCACAAACTGAAGCACAGGAAGTGCCATCTGAACAGGAGGAGGAACTTCTTCCCTCTGAGGGTGACAGAGCCTTGGAACAGGCTGCCCAGGGAGGTTGTGGAGTCTCCTTCTCTGGAGATACTCAAGACCCGCCTGGACACGGTCCTGTGCAGCCTACTGTAGGTGACCCTGCTTCGGCAGGGGGGTTGGACTAGATGACCCACAGAGGTCCCTTCCAAACCCTACCATTCTGTGATTCAGTGCAACCCATCTTCAGCTAAAATCTTAAAGTGATGATACAAATTACGTATTGGCCTTCAGAGCCTCAGTGAGCTGCTTAACTCACACCAAGCATCTAGCCTGAGCCCCCAACACTGCTGTGCAGTGTAAAGCAGGCCCAGTCCAACCGCAGAGCTCTTGGGATCTTACCCAATTCATACAGATGCCCATCCACATTGACAAACAGGATGAAGTGGAAGTTCATGCTGTTGTCCTCAACCTTAAGAGAGACCATCAGATACATTTGTTAGACTGAAAAAAGCCTAGCACTGCAAACCCTACTTGTGACTACAGAAACAGAGGAGATGTCAACCACAAAGCAAGAGCAAATGACTGAAAACTTAAGTTCAGCTGAAGAGGTCTCTGCAAGGCCAAGCGCCAGAAATCCTGATGTATGGTGACATTTTCAGACTCGGTCTGAACCTGAATTTTCAGTCCATGTTTGAGGAAGAAACCCTGCACAAGCATTCACCCAGGAGCCACTTATTTCTCTTTTCTCACGAGCTGTAACAGCCATCTGCCAGACAAAAAAATTCTATTGCTCCAACACTTTCATTAACCCCTTCTCGCAGAATTTTCCACATTCATATCTTACACGACATCTTACCCGACATTGTCCTTCTTGTGCAACCGAATTGTGAACTTCTTGTATAGCCTTAAGAGAAAGCAGACACAGGTTACTACATCTTTAAATGCTCACAGCTGGCAGCAGTTTGGTTAGTTCATATACCTTGTTATTGGCAAAATGCTTAGCTCTCTCTTCAGGAGACAGATCAGCTGTTTCATCAAGAAACTTCTTCAGGGCAGACCCCTCATCTGCACAAGATGATGAAAGACTGTATTCAGTATAGGTAGAGCATCAGTTACAGTTCAGATGCAGCCCACAGTAATCAATGCTTGTTGCACTAACTAGGAGTCATTTCATTCAGCCTGGAACCATCTCCAGCATAAACATGTCATAATTACCACTTGAAGTACGTGATTTATCCAGAAGCTATTAACAATCTACACAAACAGCCAGAGCTTAAGTGCTTCAGGGTACTCTGGATGCTTGTTTTAGAACTCACTTTCAAATGGGATTTAGCTTTTCTGATTCACCCCTTGCAGATTTGGCAGAGGTGTTCTGTCCTATTTTGAAGAAATTCAAGAAAGGTGCCAGCTATAAACTGAAAGAATATGGGTAGATGAAATCCAGTCGTGTAACTGCCTTCAAATGAACACAGCACATGCTCATGCTAGGCTTACTTTGGTTTTCCAGAACATAAGCTGGTAGTGCAGTACTAAGATGCACCGAGTTCTAGCCTGACATGTAAGATGTGCTGCATCATTCATTTCACTCATCAAGAGTGTTATTTCAGGGAATCCTTTCAAGAAGAGTAAAGCAAAGCTACTCTCATTTAGCCTTCCATGCATGTTTTCCTTTGTATAAAAAGGAATCTCACATCACCCAAAGTGTTCAAGTTCTCTTTGACTCATGAAAGTAAGTTACATTTTGCACATCTCTACTCTTTGAATAAAGTATTTCCTGGCCTCAGTGACAAGTTCTTTTGACATGAACTTGTAATCCTATTTCCTAGGAGTTTCCAGCCACCAGTTGCATAAGCCAGTTTTATATATCCTTTTCTATAGGAAGAGGACCATCAAAACTCTTACCTGTGCAGGAAAAGTCTGCTTATAGATCCTTATCACCCTGTACTACTTTCCCAGCAAAAAGAAAACATGTTCTAGACTGGTTTACAGGCTATACTGAGGAAACCTGCTTACATTAGACATAACTGGCATGAAGAACTATCTCTTCAGTTGCCATCAACACCAATGTCAATAGCTACTTTCGAACACAATTCCTAATTACAGTCAGACTTTGGCCAGTCCTACTATGTGCCCTCTTCCTCTTACACCATTCACAAGGATGATACCTCTGCAGCTACCAGACAGGAGTCAAAGTACATTCCCTTCTGTGATTCAGGCAGTAGGTGAGACAACATGCTCCTCTCCAAGAACTGAAAGGCTCACTTACCAACTGAAGCAAGACAGCATGCCTTAACTTGGCTCGCACTAAAGTCCCAGGTGCCTCATACAGCCCATACCCACTCCACCTTCCTCTGTCACAAATAAAATGTAAATCAAGCACTTCAGAACATTCATACTCACCAAGCTTCAGTTTGTCTTTATTATTAGCAACTGCATGTATCAGACCAATTGTCCCGCAGGAGTTACTGACTGTCTGCTTCAAGAAATACACCTTGGAACTGATTTCTTGGTCCTTTATTTTCTCAGTCTGTTGTTTCCTGAAGTTCTCATGCTGTAAACACGCAACTGTTTTAAGCATTTCACTGCAGTGATACCTTTTTATTGTGCAAAGTACTTGACACATGTGTTGTTCAGGAGAATCAATACCAGGACTGGACAAAGATTTACCCAGAAAGCCATCTTTGTGGCATACATCCAGTAAGGCACTGCATGTCTACGCTGGACGCAGGCCAAGTCTTAATGGACTACCTGCATGACTCAGTCAGATCCAAAGGCAAAGGCACTGTTCTTAGCCTCTCCATCTGTTCTGTACACTGGAAATAGCTTGAGGTGGGTAATCATATAATGGATAGGTTCTTTTTATCCTCAATTGTTTTGGTCCATTTGGTCAGACTACTCAGCATGCCCCTGCAATAGTCTGCCTTCGTACCTTTAGGTTACTTCCCTTCATGAACCTCTCCCCATCAGAACAAGCACAAACCTCATCACTACTGAAGGGCTAAAATCCTTCCTCTAATGAACCCGTTAAACACATTTTATTTCAAAGTAAGTCCATCTCATCTGCTTCCTTAGCACCAATTAGACTAAATGTATTAATCACACAGAAGTAACCTTAGGCCTCTCCAGAGGCAATGATTCAGCACAGTAACAGAACTGCTATTCCTCACACTCAAGACTGCTCATGTTTTTTCCACAGTCTGATACACAACGCAAAGCGTAAGAGGAATACCGAAAGAAGCAGCCTTGTTTTGTTGCTCAGTTCATTTTAGCTCGGGCTATTTGGAGGCTGGGGCCAAGCACCCAGTTTGTACCACCCACCTACAGCCCCAGCAGGAGCCAAACCCACTCCCAGCCATCTGATGCTCGGAGGGATGACACGGGCAGGCTCCCGACAGCCGCCAGGGCTACCCACCG